GTTTGTTCGGGTAGCGCCGACCCTTGGTCTTCCTCGGGCTTCCTGGAGTCAGCTGCTGGTCAGTTTCGGCAGCGGCTGAATCGGGGACAGCTGAGGTGCTGCCAGGTTGGTCCCGTAGCCCCAAGGGGCAGCGCTACGGGACCAACCTGGCAGCACCCCAGCTGCTCTGCCCCCAGCTTCCCTGATTCAGCTGCTGGTCAGTTTCAGCAGTGGCTGAATCAGGGAAGCCGGGCGCAGAGCAGCTCCAATTGTTCAGCTGCCTGGAGCACTTCTGGGTTCCCAATGGTGCCAGACCATCAGGATTGCTGGAGCATTGGATGCTGGACCAATGGAGTTCTACTGTACTTCAGATACATAAGTTAAGCTGACGTACAGTGTTAGCATAGATTAGCACTCAGAAATGTACTCTAGGGTATGTCTACACTTAAAATGACATGTTGGCACTAGCAAATGTCTACACAAAGATGTAGTTCAGTCTAACAACATCACCCTAGGATGTGGATTTTTCACACCCCTAACTGATGCAGTTAAACAGACCTAGTTTTCTGGTATAGACCAGGCCTCACATTAAATACAAGGTAGAACAGATTATTTAACATAATTGGTTAATTCACTTTTTACCCAAGCATGGCAGGATAGGCGTTAATGATCCACTTCACCTTAAATGGTCCTTTGAAATATGAATTATCTACTTGCACTTAAGTTTAACTGTGACACTGTGCCTATATCTATACAGCAAAGAAAATCTGTGGCTTTCTTTGTCACCCAGCTCATGTACATGGGGCTCAGACCGTAGGGCTTTTCCCATCGCTGAATGTAGAATCATAGAATCATAGGACTGGAAGGGACCTCGAGAGGTCATCAAGTCCAGCCCCCCGCCCTCAAGGCAGGACCAAGCTCCACCTACACCATCCCTGACAGATGTCTATCTAACCTGTTCTTAAATATCTCCAGAGAGGGAGATTCCACCACCTCCCTTGGCAATTTATTCCAATATTTGACCACCCTGACAGTTAGGAATGTTTTCCTAATGTCCAATCTAAACCTCCCTTGCTGCACTTTAAGCCCATTACTCCTTGTCCTGTCCTCAGAAACCAAGAGAAACAAATTTTCTCCTTCCTCCTTGTGACACCCTTTTAGATATTTGAAAACCACTATCATGTCCCCCCTTAATCTTCGTTTTTCCAAACTATTAGATATTTGAAAACCGCTATCATGTCCCCCCTTAATCTTCTTTTTTCCAAACTAAACAAGCCCAGTTCATGAAGCCTGGCTTCATAGGTCATGTTCTCTAAACCTTTAATCATTCTTGTTGCTCTTCTCTGTACCCTTTCCAATTTCTCCACATCTTTCTTGAAATGTGGCGCCCAGAACTGGACACAGTACTCCAGCTGAGGCCTAACTAGTGCAGAGTAGAGCGGCAGAATGACTTCACGAGTTTTGCTTACAACACACCTGTTGATACAACCTAGAATCATATTTGCTTTTTTTGCAACAGCATCACACTGTTGACTCATATTCAACTTGTGGTCCACTATGACCCCTAGATCCCTTTCTGCCATGCTCCTTCCTAGACAGTCGCTTCCCATCTTGTATGTATGGAACTGATTGTTCCTTCCTAAGTGGAGCACTTTGCATTTCTCTTTATTAAACCTCATCCTGTTTACCTCTGACCATTTCTCTAACTTGCTAAGGTCATTTTGAATTATGTCCCTATCCTCCAAAGAAGTTGCAACCCCACCCAGTTTGGTATCATCTGCAAACTTAATAAGCGTACTCTCTATCCCAATATCTACATCATTGATGAAGATGTTGAACAGTATGGGTCCCAAAACAGACCCTTGAGGAACTCCACTTGTTATCCCTTTCCAGCAGGATTTAGAACCGTTAACAACAACTCTCTGACTACGGTTATCCAGCCAATTATGCACCCACCTTATCGTGGCCCTATCTAAGTTATATTTGCCTAGTTTATCAATAAGAATATCATGCGAGACCGTATCAAATGCCTTACTAAAGTCTAGGTATATGACATCCACCGCTTCTCCCTTATCCACAAGGCTCGTTATCTTATCAAAGAAAGCTATCAGATTAGTTTGGCATGACTTGTTCTTCACAAACCCATGCTGGCTATTCCCTATCACTTTATTACCTTCCAAGTGTTTGCATATGATTTCCTTAATTACCTGCTCCATTATCTTCCCTGGGACAGACGTTAAACTGACCGGTCTGTAGTTTCCTGGGTTGTTCTTATTCCCCTTTTTATAGATGGGCACAATATTTGCCCTTTTCCAGTCTTCTGGAATCTCCCCTGTCTGCCATGATTTTTCAAAGATCATAGCTAAAGGCTCAGATACCTCCTCTATCAGCTCCTTGAGTATCCTGGGATGCATTTCATCAGGACCTGGTGACTTGCTGACATCTAACTTTCCTAAGTGATTTTTAACTTGTTCTTTGTGTATCCTATCTTCTAAACTTACCCTCTCTCTGCTTGTATTCACTACGTTAGGCACACCTCCAGACTTCTCGGTGAAGACCGAAACAAAGAAGTCATTGAGCATCTCCGCCATTTCCAAGTTCCCTGTTACTGCTTCTCCCTCCTCGCTAAGCAGTGGGCCTACCCTGTCCTTGGTCTTCCTCTTGCTTTTAATGTATTTATAAAAGGTCTTCTTGTTTCCCTTTATGCCTGTAGCTAGTTTGATCTCATTTTGTGCCTTTGCCTTTCTAATCTTGCCCCTGCATTCCCGTGTTGCTTGCCTATATTCATCCTTTGTTAGTTGTCCTAGTTTCCATTTTTTATATGACTCCTTTTTTATTTTGAGATCATGCAAGATCTCCTTGTTAAGCCAAGCTGGTCTTTTGCCATATTTTCTATCTTTCCTACACAGCGGAATTGTTTGCTTTTGGGCCCTTAACAACGTCCCTTTGAAATACTTCCAACTCTCCTCAGTTGTTTTTCCCTTCAGTCTTGCTTCCCATGGGACCTTACCTACAAGTTCTCTGAGCTTATCAAAATCTGCCTTCCTGAAATCCATTACCTCAATTGTGCTGGTCTCCCTTCTACCTTTCCTTAAGATCATGAACTCTATTATTTCGTGATCACTGTCCCCTATACTGTCTTCCACTTTCAAGTTCTCAACTAGTTCCTCCCTATTTGTTAAAACCAAATCCAGAACAGCTTCTCCTCTGGTAGCTTTTTCAACCTTCTGAAACAGAAAGTTGTCTCCAATGCAGTCCAGAAACTTATTGGATAGCCTGTGCCTCGCTGTGTTAGTTTCCCAACATATGTCTGGATAGTTGAAGTCTCCCATCACCACCAAATCTTGGGCTTTGGATAGTTTTGTTAATTGTTTAAAAAAGGCCTCATCCACCTCTTCCACCTGGCTAGGTGGCCTGTAGTAGACTCCTAGCATGATATCACCCTCGTTTTTTACCCCTTTTAGCTTAACCCAGAGACTCTCTACACAGCTATCTCCTACGTTCATCTCCACTTCAGTCCAAGTGTGTACATTTTTAATATACAAGGCAACCCCTCCTCCCTTTTTTCCCTGTCTGTCCTTCCTGAGCAAGCCGTACCCTTCCATACCAATATTCCAATCATGCGTCCCATCCCACCAGGTTTCTGTAATACCAATGATATCATAGTTGTATTTATTGGTTAGCAATTCCAGTTCTTCCTGCTTATTACCCATACTTCTCGCATTTAGGTATCTAAGATTTTGCCTCCCTGTTGTGCCCTGACCCTCCTTTCTCCTTGCCATTATAGGCCGTAGTCCCCCCCCATTTCCAACCCACCTCCCAGTCCCGCACATTCAGCAGTCCTGTACTTTCAGGCTCATTCAAAGTAATTACTCCCCATTGCCTCCTGGCACTCTCTATCGAGGTAGCACATCCACATTAGGGAAGCATGTCTTGGACTAATTTTGAGGCTTCCTTGTAGTGTAGACGTGCTATTTCAAAATAATCTATTTCAGAGTATTTCTTCCAGAATAGCTTATTTCAAAACAAGTGTGAAGTGTAGACATACTCTAAAGGATTTTAGAACATGTAAAAATTTAAAATATCTACATAATTAGAGGCTGAAACACTAAGAATAAAGAAAAAAAGCAGATGAGGAAAATCACACAAATCTTAAAAGCCTTTTCTGTAAAACAATGATTAGGGATGAATGAAAATTCAAGCCAGTCATGAGCATTCGGTGCCAGCTTGCCATACATTCCTGCCAAGATGCTACAAAAGACACTGAACACCTGCTTGGCTCCAAGAAAATCCAGACTTCATGTTACGAAGTAAATTTAAATCAATCTTAAAGCTCACAAGATTATATCTTATGTTCCATTTTTATTTCATTCTTGCAGTATTTCTCATATTAAATGGATCTTTACATTTAAATAAGCAACTTCTCCCCCCCCCCCAAAAAAAGCCTCCATATTCCTTGAAGGACCAACTCATAAAGGGCCAGATTCTGATACTTTGACTTAGGCTTGGTAGTGCCTTACCACATGAATAGTCACCCTTATGTCAATGGGACTATTTGTGGAGGTAAGTTCGTATTCAATGTGGGTAAGGCTCTAAGATGGCCAATAATTGCAATGTTTCTTCCAGCAAACCCGCCCAAAATAAATAATAAAAAAAGACTGATTAAAGAAACTATGTGCTCATATTTCCACTCTGCCCAAAAGAATAGAAGGTCCATTTATTTACCTGCAAGCACCACACTCAAATGTTCCATTTCCCTCATGGCACAGTGGACTATTAGGAATTCCCTTATTTTGACACTGACATTCACAGATGAACTGAAGATTAATTTCCACTTCTTCAGTGAAACCCAGTGGTTTTATTTTAATGGTTTCATTTTGTCCTTTCTTTGGACATTCATTAGCAGTTACACTAATCTCAAATTTAACCTGTAAGCAAAAAAAATAAAAAAATAAAAAAAGGATTCTTTTATCAGTACTAAAAAGGTGCTCTGCCTAAATGATTAAAAAGTAAAATATTTCAGAGATTCTTCAGAGGACTGCAATCTTGTTCAATTCTTTAGATATTAAAAATGTATGTTAAGTTACTTCAACTGAACAGAAAATTACCTCATCCCCAATTGAAATGTTGGAACACTTTCTGCCATTTTCTCCTGTGCCATTCACTCCATTCTTGCAGTAAGATTTATAATTGATTGTCACTCCTTTTGGTAGCTTGCTGTTTTCCAAGATAACCTCTGAAGACAAGGACTAAAACAAAAATTATTTATTAATTACATACCATCTAGCTTTAAAAGATTTGACTAATAAAGGTGGGGCCTATTAAATGAACAGAGACTTTCACAAAAATACACCCTTTACAGACCAGCCTCGACTACAGGAAAGGAACAAAGTCTGGAAAGAAATAAAATTGCACGTTATCCTTATTGGTGGGCACTGTTCAGAACGTTCTTAAGGAGCACCCTTAAAATTGTAAACAGTCCTCTCTCAGCCCAGGGTATTTTCTTAACAGTTCCCCAAAGATTCACTACTTCTGTTATAACCCACTTTCACTATTCTTTGAAGTACTACCATCATCATTCAAGGATCAGATGTAGTTCTTCTCCAGAACTTAATAACATGGCTCAAAGATTATTAAACATAGAAGTTGCTAGAAAAGCCTGGCTTCTTCCCTCTCCTTACAAAAAGAAAAGACCATGAAGGGAAAAATAAGTCATGACTTGTAGATTGCAAGAAAACGTTAGATGGATTTAAAAAGAGAAAATATTTTTTTTTCTTATTGGATACTTATGAATAAGATCACACAAAATATTTACATACGGCTGTGTAGTTTACATCAGAATTTGACAAGATTATGCATTTATCAACTTTCCATCTTCTACTCCATTTAAAATGTTTTTTTTTTTTTTTTTTTTGTTCTACAGCAGGTTTCTCTAGATACTGATACCAATATAGTTTGAGAGGAACAAGGATAAAAGTTATGTGAATTAAAACTTACGTTGTAGGCATCAATAATCAGCTGAATCACATTGCTGGAATTTGCAGATAGAGTTCCAACTGCTGACTTTGGGATGAGATTTTTCAGTTCCTTTTAATATTAAAAGTAGAAAGTATAAATTCCTTTCACACAAATATAAATCCTACTCTAAAAGCTTCTTTATTTTGAAGACTGAGATACTTTACAACTGAGTTATTTAACACTAGAGTTACAAACTGGCCAGTCAATCATAGGGATGTGAACTGTTAACTGGTTCCCTGGGGAGCAGCCCCTCCACCCATCACTGAGGGCTGCTTCAGCCCAGCATCCAGCCAGCTCTGGCCCCAGCCCAGGGGCTGGGAGCCATCAGAGTCAGCCGCTGCTCCAGCCCAGTGAGATCCCGCTCAGTTGGTTAACTGGTTAACGGTTAAGGTTAATCTAACATTTAACCAGTTAACTGACTAGGAATATAAAATTCCGGTTAATCAATCACACCTCTCATTTCAAACTGTAAGTGTGCAATCAGAGAGCAGCAGAGACCAAACCACCCCCACCAAACCCTCCTACGCCCCTCGCTCTTCCATTAGTCCCCCATGCAGTATGATACTTACAGACAGACAGAACACAGCCTGTGAGGAGTCCTATTGACTATGCACAATGTTAAGTACCTCAGTGAACCTAGACTCTACAGATCTCACCATTTAAAGTGCTTGTAAAATGGAAAAAGCTGGGTGAAACTAATGCATGAGGTGGCAGAAGGTGAATGATGTGATGAGGATACACACCTCTGTCTTAGTAGGAACGAGCCATGCTCACAATGAAGCTCACTACCTACCTCACCATTGTCCCTAGCGCTCCTTAGTTTTTTATTAACATATCACTGTAAGACAAAGTCATTCCGCAGGGCAAACTAAGTACAATATTATAATTCCTGGGTTTTATATGTCTGCCTCCCTCCCTAGGCACACAAATTGCATTCACATCTCTATGAATTATTAAAGTGAGTTGCTTGGATGACCTATTTGATGCAAAGGGAACACCCTGCCGGCTCTGAGAGATATTGCAAGTGCGATTCAATATGCCCTGGAGTCAAGCAGCACTTGTGGAACCTTCATTAAAATGAGCTCCCCCCTGCAAACTTGAGATTAGGGTTTGAATCGCCAAGGTTTGGGGCTGATCTTGGGTTTTGGCTCAGGCTCATCTCTAGACTCAACATCTACCGCTGGAACCAGTTTTCCAAACAAGTTCAGCAGAGGCCAGCCTTTCTCCAGTGCTCTCGACGGCGGTAGCTGGGGGCTGAGTTCTTGTAAAATTCTGTCCCTAAAAGTGTTTGCATAATGGATTGGGGTCCTGCCCTGGCTAATATCACTACATAGTCACCCTGGCTAATATCACTATACAGGCAGTCCCCGGGTTACGTACAAGATAGGGACTGTAAGTTTGTTCGTAAGTTGAATCTGTATGTAAGTTGGAACTGGCGTCCAGATTCAGCCTCTGCTGAAACTGACCAGCGCTGACTACAGGAAGCCCGAGACAGAGTTGCTCTGCCCCAGGCTTCCTGGAATCAGCGCTGATCAGTTTCAGCAGCAGCTGACTTGGGGAAGCTTGGGGTTCTTAAGTTGAATCTGTATGTAAGTCAGAACTGGTGGTCAGTTTCAGCAGCGGCTGAATCTGGACGCCAGTTCTGACTTACATACAGATTCAACTTAAGAACAAACCTACAGTCCCTATCTTGTACGTAACCCGGGGACTGCCTGTACTCCCAAGACTAAGACAAACATCTTGCCATGTTTCAGTAACTTATTAGGAATAAAAAAAAAAGCATAACTGGAACATTGGAAACAAAATTCTGCAATCTTTAAAAATTATTTTAATACATATTTTGATTGAAAACCTTAATTTTCATTTATTTTATCCTTAATTTTTAACTTTAGTCACCTTAATTTTAAGCTAAAAATTCAGGCAATATTTAATTAAGAAGCTACTTCTGTAACTATAAAAGGTTTGCATAGCCATAAGCCATATTTGCTTCTGCTGCATTAAAACAGCCCAAGAGAAAAAAAATCAACTGTCATCAAATGAAGATGAAAACAAGCTAGTTCTGCTGGTAAACCCATAAAACACATATAATGGAAAAACACCTTTTCTATCTCTCTAAATCTGGTATTGACATGAGTAGTTTTAATATCTGCTTAAGAGTTATTTGCTTTTCCAAAACCCCTTTCTCTTAAGCTCAGCTGAGATACCCATTCTCTTTTGGGTAAGTTTCCCCATATCCCTAGGTATCCCAGGTATTTTGAAGCCAATGTGTATTTAAGGAAGTACTGCACATCAACTTCATCCTTAAAAAAGTAGGACTGTTATTTATAACCTCAAAGGAAGAAAGATGAAATCCCTTTTTGTTTGAAAAATAAAAACAGACTGGTAGGTTTGACACAGGAATAGGCAACTGCTCAAGAATAGTGCTTTGTAATTAGCAGACAGCAAAAAATCACTTTCATGGTCCCTAGTTTTCATACACATTTTAATTTTAAATCAAATTAATTTTGATGAATGCATACTAGATCATTAGAATCAGTCTCTCAATTGTCTGGAAAAATATAAGCAACAGAAGCTTTTCTCACTTATCTCACCTTGTAAACTGCCTGAAACTCCTCAGTTACAGCAAAAATTGTCTGAATGTTGTTCTCACTAAGCTTCTGTACCAGATGAGCAATAGAGGGATAATCCTGTAACATTAGACATGAAACTTAATTCAAATTTTGCAGATGCAGAATAATCTGTCTGAGTTTTTATTCTTCCATAATATTAATTTTTTTTAACTTTAATAAGCATACTTTAGACAACACTATAATATAACTCAAATCTTCAAATTCCCCATCCTATAAAGTCTCTAATTAACATTAATGTCTTCAACATATCTCCAATCCTGTTTCATAATACTTTTGTCATAATATATTAGCCCTTTGTGGTGTTTTATCCAGTAAAAAGTGAAAGAAACTGTGGAGCAAACAAAACTTTCTATTTTAATCTATGTAAAATGTATTAGGGAATGTGTACATGCATAAACCGTTTACAGCTATTTGTCTTTAACCTAGCCTTTATGTATTTTTGACATATATTTTATTGTATCTGCTTACCAAAAGCCACAAAAGCACAGTAGTTAACCACATTCTTATCTTAAAACTATTAGGCTACGTCTACATTGGCCCCTTCTCTGGAAGAGGCATGTTAATTTCCAACTTCAGAATAGGGAAATCCGCAGGGGATTTAAATATCCCCTGCGGGATTTAAATAAACATGGCCGCCGCTTTTTTCCCCGGCTTGGGGAAAAGCCGGAGAAAAGCGTCTAGACTGGCGCGATCCTCCGGAATAAAGCCCTTTTCTGGAGGATCTCTTATTCCTACTTTGAAGTAAAAGTAAAAGGGCTTTATTCCGGAGGATGTTAAGTTGTAATAAATCCTGGAATAATGAGGAAACACCACAAGACTGGAAGAATACTAATATTGTACCAATATTCAAAAGAGACAAGTGGGATGACCTGGGTATGGGTACATCAGTTAGCCAGATATCAGTCCTCCACAGAAAACAACAGAAAAGCAGATATGGGATTCAATTGATGAAGAATTTAAGTACAGGAATACAACTAATGCCAGTTTGTCAAATAAATTTAATTGTATTCTTTTGATGAAATTACAAGTTTGGCTGACAAAGATAGCTGTGCAGACATAGTACACTTTTGTATGATGTTTGACTTGGTACTAAATAACATTCAGATTTAAAAAATTAGCACTGTACAGTATCAACAGGGTTACCATTACATGGACTAAAAATTGACAAATCTAAAAGAAGTAGTTGCAAACGAGGAATAATTTAAGGAGAAAGTATCTAGTTGGCTCTGTGAAGATCAGTACCAGGCTTGATGCTAGTCAACATTTTCATCACTGATCTGGAAGTAAATATAAAATAAATGCTGATAACTTTTGGGGATGACAGAGACTGGCATTTAAAAAAATTCACTAACCTGTTCTGTAACTGTTGCTCTTCAAGATGTATTGCACATGTCCATGCTACTTCAAGGTGTATGCATGCCCAGTGAGATTCTTCCATTAGTGGTACCTGCCAGGGACGCACATATGCCTCTGATGCTTTCTGCTGCTGTGTGATGGCAGAAAGGATAGAACCACCCCCAACCACCATCAGTTCCTTCTCACCAGACTGATATAGAAGAGAAGCTGAAGGGACTGTGACATGTACACATGCCACACATCTTGAAGGACAACAGTTACAGACCAGGTGGGTAACTGTTTTTTCCTTGAGATGCATTGCACATGTCCATCCCATTTCATGCAATTCAAGAATACTTCAGTCTGGAGGTGGGATCAGAGTCTATTTGAACAACAATTTAAGGACTACTCATCCAAACCTGGTCCCTAAAATGCTGAGAGGCAACGGTGTGGGTCAATGACCAAACTGCAGCTCCACAAATGTCCTGGATATCTATAAAAGCTAGAACTAGAAAAACTGCAGAAGCTGTCTCTGATCTCACTCCTTAGAGCCAGGTGTGAGTACTCAAAAAACAGGAATTGATAGATCTACTAAACTCTTTAAAAAATGAAACACATACTAAACTAACTATATGTTTATAAAAAATGTACCAGCTATATACTCTAAAAATAAAAGGGAAAACATTGCCAGTGCAAGCTAGAACACTTCAACTGCTAACTCTGCGTAGTACCTGAGGGGGACTCAGGGTTGACTCCATTCCTTTATAACATTGTAGAGCAGCACAAGGCAGCAGAGGACGTACCTGCCTCCCGGGGAGGTTCTGCTAAGGGAAAGATCTTTAATGCTGGTGCACCGGAAGTGCTGTGCACATGTGCAATCACACAAAGAAGGATAAATAGGGACGAGGACAGCAGTCATTGGTCCATTCAAACAAAATACATTTTAGTACAGCTTAATGTTGTGTTACACATCTAAGAATATGGAATGCAGGCCATTCCTGCAGATTTAGGGTTTATAGTCAACAAGTAACTAAACACAAGCTCCTAGAATTTATGCTTTGTACGTGTAAACAAGAGAATAGCAAGTAGAGAGACAATTTTACTTCTGTATATAGCATCTGAGAGAGAGATATCAGAATACTGTATTCAGTTCTGGTGGCCACATTTTAAAAGGGTATTTGAAAAATTGGAGAGGATACAGAAAAGAACCATAAAAAAGATTTGAAAGCAAAACAAAAAAAGTTTTAGATGAAACTTAAAGAGCTCAGTCTCTTTAGCTCGTTAAAAAGACAGGTGGTTTGATTACAGCATAGTATTAGTTTCACAAGGAGAAAGTATCAGCTACTAAAGGGCTTTTAAATCTAGCGGAGAAAGGTAATACAAGAACCAATGGCCAAACAAATTCAAATCAGGAAAAAAAAAAAATCAGACCTGTGATTGTGATTAACCATTGAAACCAACTGAACAGGACCATAGTGCAGTGGTTCCCAACCTATTTTTATACCGCAGACCAGCAAACCCATTCATAAACTTTTGGTGGATCAGCAACATGTATTCACATATTTGCATATTCATTATGCAAACAACAAATATGCACATATGCAATAAAATGTTACCGGTCAGCCAAAACATGTATCCCAGCTCCCAGAGTCACCATGAACAGCCAGCTTCAGCTCCAGCAACTGCCAGCCATATGCCATGGGTATACTCCAATCCTGGCCCTGGAACAGCTGGCATGGGCGTGGCTTGGTAGTATGCTACGACCCGGTGGTCAGCGGTTGGCAACTACTGATGTAGTGGATTCCTATCTCTTGATCTTTTCAAGTTACAACTGGATGTCTTTCTGGAAGATATGCTATAGCTAAACAAAAGTTATGAGCCTCAATATAGGAGGAATGGGGTAAAATTTAATGGCTTGTGATATACAGGCAGCCAGGGTAGATGATCTAATGATTACTTTTTGGGCTTACAGTTTATTCATTTACTTTATTTTAGGCATCAAGACTTACATAGTAATGACTCATTGTGTACACGTTATTTTCCAGATGACACTTTCCATCATTCGGTAAAACAATTCCACCAAGTTTACCATCTCCAGCAAAGTGGAATCCAGCATCCGTAGAAAACACCAACAATCGTGTCACATTTCTCCATCCAATTTGTGTCTTAGGGGAAAAAAATGTAATGATTTTTTTTTAAATGAATAAAAAATAAAAATACCCCCTGAACTAATATATTTCAAGTTATACAACACACACTTAGAAATAAATACAAGAAGGTAGCCATGACTGGAATATTTAAAAAACACACACACACACACACACACACACACACACACACACCCTTAAAAAGGTATGGTTAATTTATGCACATATTTCACTCAAGTCTGTCCTGTATTATCAACAACAGCAATACTTGCAGAACGTCTTTCATCAGAGGATAACAAAACACTTTCTTACCTAGACTCGTCTGTTCTGCTCTCTGACTAGTATCTTGGTGGCACTTAGAGAAAAAACTGCCTATTTCATCTCATCTCGTCTGTTTTTAGCATATATTTTAAAAGAAATTTATGAAGGATACATTATATATGAACTTGTTTCATCTTGTTAAACATCCATCCACTTGCCTCAAAGTAGCAAAGATTTCATGATTGTGACTCTTCTTTTACACAAATTTTTGGGAAGAGAATGTTCGTGGTCTGCCTCCCCTCCACAAAGAGGGCTCATATAATTTCAAATGTGCCAGTATTTGCCTTCAGTGAGTGGAATGTACATAATGTTTAAGTGCCTGCTTCCAATTCTGTTTGCTCTATCTCCACCTGCTGGCCTAAGGATAAATTTCTCAGTTTGGGTGGTAAAGTGAAATGGAGATTTTAAAACTTCAAGTCAACTGCAGTAAGACACTCAGATTTCATTAAACTAGTTTGATCTAATATAATAGTAAAGAAAATCGATATACACTTACCCCACAAACTGCAACTTGCATTATTGCATCAAATCCACCTTCAGGAGAATCCAAATTGCCAGAAATGTGTTGTTTACCTACAAGTTCATTGAATAGTTTTCCTTCACTGGTAAGGTTGAGCACATTTTTGTAACTAAATGGACTTGTACAGTTCTGGTCACCTGTACAAGGGTTCCTAAGTTTGGCTGGTGTGGTACTTATATACGGCATCACAGTTTTTTCCACAAAGGAGCCAAATCCTAAAACAGAACAACAAAACCTCTCAGTCACAGTGTAATGTTACTATATATAATCATGATGAACTACTGTACAGTTCCAAAAAATTCAATTTGCCCTCTCAATATTCCATGCATTCTTTTGTTTATTTTGGAATAGTTTCTAAAATCTATTTTACTAGAAGAATAGCAATAATATGAATTCTGTTCAATTTTCTTTTGCTAATTTTCAATCAGAATATATCAGTAATTTCAACTTTAAACAAAAATCTACAAATGGGAATTTCCTCTTTTCCCACACCCATTAATAATGAATCCTTTTTTACCAATTCGAAAATCTGAAGTTATTTTCTCCATTTCGGTCATTAGAGCAGTTCCAAGACTCTTCACATTCTCTAAATCATCCTTCATGGAGTAAGAGAGATCCATAAGGTAATAAAGATCAATAGGGTAATCTTCAGCTCTCTTAAATTTTAATGAAAACATCTGTGGTTCCCCTAGACCAACAAAAATAAACCCCATTCATTACAAAATGCAGACTAACCAAACTGATAATAAATATACATTCCTTATTGAAGGTCTTTTACCAATATCCTAAAAAAAGGTCATACCTAACATGAATTAGTTTATTTGTATGAGTGGCAGTGATTAACTGAAAATCAATATGTTCAGGGTTTTTAAAAGTGAGTAACAATTTTGCATCTCCCATTTGTAACACCTTAAAGAAGCCTTGTTTTCGGAAAAGGTCTGAAGGCCAGCTCTTTCAATTCAGGTCTGTACATAGATTGTCTTATGTTGGTACTTGAAAATGTGTGACACCAAAAATCATTAGTCACTTTTGAAATCTTGGCTTCCATTTTAATTTCAACAAATAATGTTATTGCAAGACAAGTAGCACAGCTTTTTCCCCTTCTTTTTTACACCACTAAAACACGCAAAGACGATGCATATGTAAATGAAGGAAATTGAGTTAGTTTACCTTTCAGCCCTAACTCACCCCATTGATACTTATTGCAGTCTCAAAACACGAGGTTATAACATGTAATAAAAAACTCCAACATAAAATGAAAAAAGCAAGGATGAAAGACTTATTTCTAGGTTCTTTTTGCAGAAACATTGAAAAATATAGTCAACTAAGTGCTTCATGGTGAAACTAATCCTTAGAATTCCACTGCCAACTCTGCCCCAATGAAACAATGCTTTCCAAGATTATTACAGATAGAAGCTTGTCCCCTATGGCTCTACATAAGATATGGATATACACAGAGTCCAAATGAAGCCTACCAATGTGACGGTTTCTCCCTGGAAGTGCAGAACTGACACTTGGAACTTCAGGCTACACTCAGAATCATAATGATATTCTTAAGTCTTGAAAAGATTCTATCATAAAATGCTACAGAACGATACGGAAAACCTAACGGCGGCAAGAGTGAAATCTAAGTCTCTTCATGAGACACAGCACTCTGTTCTAAATTCTTCTATTTTAAATTACCCACAAGCCAAGGCCATGCTTTTGAGGTTCTGAAACTCACCAGAAGCAACTGTCTCCCTTCATACTTCCTAAAAGTTATTGCCATTGTGAAGGTTCAAGTCAAAATGCCACCTGTGATGGTAAGTCACTTTAGTTTTACAAGCTCCCATAAAGCCACCTTTCAAACTTCTCACAAAGCTTCTCTCTTCCATCTACTTCTTAGTTTGCAGCTGCCTCAACTAGAATCCTAGTTTTAATTCTATCCAGATAAAGTAGTTCTTGGATGAACTGATCCCTAAATCAATTCTCATTTTACCCAAAAGATGGCCAGACTTATCAGTTTCCTAGCTCTCTGGAGTACTATGAAAATTTTCTCTTGTAAAAAGCTCTATTTTTTTGTTCAAAAGAAGCCAAATTCTCTATTTCATGGATGAAAATGGCTACAGAACTACTTGGTGCTCATTCATCTAGGTCTTCACCCAATTCCTTGGCTCCCTAGAACAAAAAATTATCTTATCTGGAAATCTGGCTGCTGGACTTTAGCTCTCATGGTTACCAAGACTCAAAAAGTATACCCTTCATTTCTCAACTAGTGCAGCCTTTGGGCACAGAGTGCTCTGGCAGACAGCAATGCCCTCATAACTTTTCATTTTCTATTTTCCAAAAGGTCACATTCCAGGATGACAAGTGAAAAGCGTTAGAAAATGTATCAATTTTGTTTTAACCAGTAAATTTGTCTTTTCATAAAATACTTTTAGGAATACAAGCTCCCCCATCCCCCATGTTTTTGTTATTTTGTTTTTCTCTCAAGAATATTCTGTGTAAATTATGTCCATCTACCTAAAGTTTATTCTCATTTGCCAGGTTATCTGAGAGTCTGTGGAGTTACAGGGATGGGGCTTCTCGCCTTCAAATCTCTGTGTTCCCTACTAACATTCATAATTTTTGCAGAAAGATATGTTCATAGATAATATTGGAAGCCTAAAAATTATATGAAGATAAGAATTAGTATCTTCATACCTGTCCGCAACTTCAGTACTAATTGCTGGGGCTGGATCTGGGTAATGTCCTCTGGTTTCAGCTTTTCTGCAGTACCTTTGCTACGATTTGTTACCTCTTTATTTTTGTGGACTTCTTTGGTACCTCTAGGATTTTCTATTTCACTCACAGAGCATCCCTTTTTCATTAGTGCTTCTAACTCATCACATCGGGCTGAAGTTGGCTCTCCTTCTTGTAAAAAGTTCTAAAAGATATGGGGAAAACAACATCAAACTTACAGTAATTTACAATCTGTAACACATGGCTTGAGTATACACTACTTCTTTGTATTTATTCCATTATTTTTATGCACCAACGACCTCTAGAGCAGTGTTTCTTAAGCTGTGTTCTGGTGTGCCCGAGGCAGACAGAGGTCTGCCGCAGAGAAAAACAGAATTCAAAATGACTGTCCCTCCCCAACCAAAAATCCTTGATGTTCCTCATTAAAAAAAAATATTGTTTAGTGTTCCTCGGTCTTAAAAAGTTTAAGAAACACTGCTCTAGAGACCTGGGCAATTTCTGAAGTGTATTTTAAATTCAGAGTTTTATCTTTTACAAACATATTGATTTAGTAAATTTAGTAACAACTATAGTGAAAAATTTATCCAGTGCAGCAGTTTATGGTTAACTTTAATAGACAATTTGTACATGTGACTGACGCCAGGTAAACGAAAGTGTACAAAATAACTCTTCCAACAGAAACATGAAGTCACCATTCAATTAGCTACTCTGACTGAAAGTCACATTTGGTGGTTTTAGAGCCGATCTGCCTTTCCTTAACTACCATGCAAGAAACTGAACACATTTAACTGATATGTGCTGTGACAAAACTTTAGTTTTGCTTTCATTGCAAGTGTTGCAATTAAATAGTACACCATAGTATCTGGATAGACTGTAACACAGAGGTGGGCAATAATTTTAGAAGGGGGGGCCACTTCTCAAATTTCTGAAGTGGCCCCGGGATGCCCCACAAGGGATGGGGCCTCAGCCAGAAGCGATGGGGCAAGAACACTTCCATGCACTCTCCACCCACAGCTCCTGATTGGCCTGGGGGCAATGGAATCCCATGAAGTCTTTTCTTCCTGGTGCCTCTAGAGAACTCCAACAGCTGGCGGTTCCCTCTAGGCACCGCACACCCCTTGCAGGGTGAGAGACTTCGCGCATTCTCCTTGCCCCCAGGCCAATCAGGGCCTATATGTGGGGGAGCATGTGAAGTCTCTCATTCCCTGCTCCCGCTCCTCAAGTGGCATGCAGTGCTTAGAGAGAACTGCCAGCTGTTCAAAACAGTTGGGCTACGTCTAGATTGCAAGCCTCTTTCGAAAGAGGCTTTTTCGAAAGATACTTTTGAAAAAGCCTCTTTCGAAAAAGAACATCTAGACTGCAAGCACTACTTTCAAAAAAGCAAGCCGCTTTTTTGAAAGAGAGCACCCAGGCAGTCTGGATGCTCTCTTTCGATAAAGCCCTGTTTGCATTCAAGAACGCCTTTTTTCAAAAAAGCACTTTAGAAAAAAGGCATTCTTCCTCGTGAAATGAGGAGTACCGCCGTCGAAAGAAAAGCCGCGTTCTTTCGATTTTATTTCGAAAGAACACGGCTGTAGTCTAGACGCAGGTGAAGATTTTTTTTTTTTTTTTTTAAAGCTACTTTTATTCGAAAAAACCTTGCAGTCTAGACACAGCCTTGGTGGTTCACTCTAGGTGCCGCACACTCCTGACAGGGGGAAGAAACTTCTCATGCTCCACCATCCCCAGGTCTTGTTTGGCCTGGGGGCAGGGGAGCAACAATGCTTTCTTGCCCACCTCTGTTGTAATAGAATTACAGTGTTTTGGTGACCTGAAGAGCTCTGTGTAACTCAAAAGCTTGCCTCTTTCACCAACAGAAGTTGTTCCAGTAGAAGATATTACCACATGCACATTCTCTCTTTAGTGCTCTAATGCATACAACTCCTGACACAGTTGGAAAAAAATTCAGTGAGGAGGAAGAGAAGCAGGAGTAAGGAATATACTTTTAAACTAAAAGTTGTTGGGAAAAAATTGTCTTGAACAAAAGCTACAATCCACAAAAAGCATTTTGACCTGTAAATACAGTATGAATACATGCACTCGTAAGGGCTTCCAGCATAAAGTACTTTTAATAACAGAAAGAAATAGGACTTCTTTCAATACATAAAACAAATTGAAAAAATCTTATGTACACTCCTAAAACATGTCATACACATTTCTTTCATGTAGTTCCTCACCGGTTTCACATAATCTGCAGCCAAAAGGACAAAGTTCAAGTTAACTAGATAAACTAAATACATTCCAATATTTACTAGGGCGATGGACTGCGGTGTGTATGAAATAGTAAATAAGTAATACTGTCTTTATGTATTCAATCTTCTTATAACATAAGTTTCCTGATTTTTAATAACTTGCATTTGGAAACAACCATTCTAATTAATGTAAAACACTCTCCAGAAAAGTTCCTGCTTTTAGTTTTTTAAAATTTTCTGAAAGCTTAACATTTTCCATACCCTGCTCCTGTTCAGTTCTCTCTCTCTCTTTCCACTCCCCATCCCACCGTCCCAAGTTGGAGAAAACAATACAAATAAATTGTATGATATTATCTGATACAGTCCCTTTATATCCAGTCTTAAATTATGTGCTTCCTGACTTGGGTGCTTAATTATATAATCTTGCATTCTCTCTCTCTCTCTCCCCCTCTCTCTCTCTCTCTCTCTCTCTCTACATATACATAAATAAATAAATACAATCTTTTCCTGTGGGATGGCAGAGTAACACCAAAACATCACTCACGTTGCTCCGTCCCCTGCTCCAAGGCCAGAACGGCCCCTCGCCATGCTACCAGCCTTACTGGCTGCAGCCCCTCCACATGACAGCCCCTTTACTTACCACCATCCCCTGCCAACAACCTGCAACCTCCAGCCCCCTCACTCAAACCCCCGCTATGGGTGTCTCAGAGGAGACCTAAGCTCAGACTAGCTCCTCCCCGGCCAGCCACATGCCTGCAAGGCAGGCAAGGAGGCACTCGGGCAGCATAGACCTAGGGTAACCCTGCTGCAGTTCTTGGCGCTCATGGGGTGCTGGGCCTGCAGGCTCAGAAGCAGCGCAAGTGCAGGGCGAGGCACCCTGTGTCTCCGGCTGCCCATTGCTCCGTCCTCCGCTGCATCCTGAGCCACTCTGGTGGAAACCGATGCCGGAACTCAGCAGCATTTGGAGTGACTGCCAACCTGGCTGAGTGGATTCAGGGTAGCCAGGGAGAGGGCACCTGATTCTGCATGACGACGCCCAGAGACCCCCCTCATTGCCTGGCCCCACAGCCCTCTTTCCAGCCTTTATGTAGTCAGTCCCTCCCTTCCTCCCTCCCTTAGTCTCCCACCCCCCATTCAATGTGGCAAGTGCCAGGTGCAAAGCGAAATGCTACACATCCATGGCCTCCCCATCCTCCATTGCACCGCGAGTGGCTGCATCCTGAGCCCAGTTGAACCTGACCGCCATAGCCCAGCAACTCCTGAGGCTTCACAAAGGGGCAACCCAGCAGCATTCAGAGCGGCTGCCATCCCACTGGTGCCATATCCTTGGTAATTAGGTTGTCCGTTCGTGAGAGGCGGCAGGGAAGAAGGGGGATAGGATGTATGTTGGGATGAATGGTGCAGTAAGAGGGGGTGGGGGTGAGAGGGATATAGGAATGGAGGCAGGGGGATGGGCAGTGTGAGGATATGGAGGGGGCGAGGTTAGAGAAGGATGGGGGTGTAGGAATGGAGGAAGGAAGTGGTGATAGGGATAGGTAGGGGAGGAGTTAGGAAGAATGCGTAAGTAGGAATGGAGGCAGGAGGATGGGCAGGGTGGGGAGGAGGCTTGGGAACATGGTGGATGTAGGAATGGAGGCAATGGAATAGGAATGGAAGGAGAGGGGTAGACTTTGGGCTATGGAGTTCCAGGCTCTGGCTCTCCTCCTTGCCAGGGCCGGGGAGGAAGGGAGAAGAGCTGGGACTACCTACCCCCAGAGAGAGGGAGGTTGGTGAGCGTAGTGAGCAGGGGGCTTCACTCCGTAGTTTGTATAAAATATAAAAAAACCTGCCAAACCACGCTAAGAATCAAATGGCAAAAATGCCAGCATTTCAGGTATAAAACATATCTAAGCTTCTCAAATGCTCCTCTCCCAGCTTCTCTCTTTCATTTTGTCTGCATCTAAAATTACCAACCCTCAAATGTCACTGGTAGAATATAATTAAAACATATCCAGACAGACTCCAGGCTGGGATGATTTTAAATAACTATGAGACAGATCGTAGATCTATGCGCCCTTAACACTTGGCAATGAAAGAGAAATAAAAATCTCTGGCACTTTCTTATGCGCAGATCTAGCCAATGCAGATTTCATCCCAGTTATTTCATAAAGATATTTGAATTGTTCTTTTAGCTTTGATTTAGACATCGCAGACATTGAAGTAAATGGCTACTACAGAAAATCATAAAAGAGATAAGAATAGATACAGTAGGCTTCCAATAATCTGGCACCCGTTGGACCCAGGGGGTGCCGGATTATCGGATATGCCGGAATATCAGGAGGTACTCCAGTGGGGTGCTGTGACAGATCTGCCGGGACCTGCACTGCGTGGGGGGGTCGGTGTGGAACGGCACAGGGAGGGCGAACCCTCCGCATTGTTGCGGGGAGGCGGTGGAAGCCCCGTGCAGCCGGCTTGCAAGCAGAGAAACTTGTAAGCGATGGCAGTGGAGAGGGGGCGAGAGGCAGGCAGCTGTTTAAGGCGGGCGGGCGGGAGGAGCAGAGGGGGCGTGGCGAGGGGCGAACTCTCTGCTGTGTTGCAGGGAGGCGGTGGAAGCCCCATGCAGCCGGCTTGCAAGCGGGGAAACTCAGCTGCTGGCTTGTAACCGCTTACAAGTTTCCCCGCTTGCAAGCCGGCTGCGCAGGGCTTCCACCGCTTCCCCGCAACACTGCGGAGAGTCCGCCCCTCGCCGTGCCATCCCCAGTCCACCTGCCTTCCTTAAACAGCTGCCTACCTCTCGCCCCCTCTCCGCCACCGCCTCTGGGCAGCTCCGATTGTCCAGCTGGCCGGAGCACTTCCGGGTTTCAGTTGGTGCCGGACTACTGGATGCCGGACAATTGGGAGTTTTACTGTAAATCATTTTAGGGTATGAAAACATCTAGGACAAAATATCAGAGAAAGTATTTCACAAATATACTCACTGGCTCTTTGCACCAGCCACAGTTTGGTCCTGCCTGTATACATTCCCCACATGATTTTGCATTAGCCTTTATACAATCACTTCCACCTGTCAGGGAACATAAATAAATTATTTCATTTTACAATATACTGGTAATCACACTTATTTTTTTAAACCAATTGCTCATGACTAGCCCTGTAAAACAAGGTTAATCCAGTTCAAACAGGCCACAAAGAAAAGCAAAATATAAGCTATTTTATTATTATTATTGCTTCTCTGTTATAATTAAGTACATGAAGGCAAATGTGTGCTATTTATATTAAATGTAACCATGGTAAAATATACAGTTCAAATTAATCTATTTCTGAATTCAAGGATTTTACAAAATTTAAGATGTACCTGTTTGGGCCAATCCATGCCATATCGAGCAACATAGTAATACAACCCAGAGGAGCAAGTTGAAATTTGTCTGAAAAATAAAATGTAAGTAGTTGAACCATTTATATATCAAACGTAATTGGGCAACATGATAAATATGGACATGCAAATACAATTCAGACATTATTGTGATGACACGTTTCAATTATTCTTATTACATAGATTAGATAAATGTGTTATGACCTGACTAAACAATATATTATTGTAGTTGTAGTATATGCAGACTAGGCATTATTCTAGAAAGGTGCCACTGTGGAAGGTTATTTTCAAATTATTTTTTTAAGACTTTCTTGTCTTGATACGAGTGGTCTTATAGAACCTTAGAGATTTAACAAAATATACAGAATCATGAGCTTTTGTGAGTAAGAAGTATTGGGTTTTGCTATATATTTCTATATATTATGATTAGTTTCTAAGGTGCCACTGGACCACTCATTTATGAAGTTACAGACTGACAGCTACCCTTCTGAGACTGCTTCACTTGCTACAATTAAGTTATGAGGGCCTGCCTACAAGCACATTCAGTTTGCAGCAAACTAGGTGGTGAATGTGCCCCTCACTTGCCTGCTGCAAACTAACTGTCCATGGAAAACCTGCTGATGCACAGTAACAATTCCTCACTGTGCTGTGATCTACCCTGCTTTGAAACAGAAATAGATCAAAACATACTAACCATTACTTCAAGTTAGCTGGGTCTTATCAGCGATGGGCAACCAAGAATACCTGAGTGGCCTCCATCACAGTGGGCCACAGCAGTCCGTGGCTCACTGGGGTTCCACTTCTGGCCCACGGACTCCTTATCTGCCCACGCGTCTCTCGTGCACTGGACACTGGAACCCCACACTTTCAGTGCTTCCCAGCATTTTTGGGGTACCACAAATACACTGATTCTTGCTCAGTCCCCATCCCGCTCCCTTCCTACCAGAGCTGGAACGCTGTAAATCAGCTGTTTGTGGCTGTTCAAGCTCTAGGAGGGAAGAGGAGAAGTGGGACGGAGTGCGAATCAGGCGATTTCAGAATTTGGTAAATTTTCAGATTGGAGAGGGGTGGTGTCCCCCAAGGGTCAGTCCTGGGACCAATCCTTTTCAACTTATTCATAAATGATCTGGAGAAAGGGGTAAGCAGTGAGGTGGTAAAGTTTGCAGATGATACCAAACTGTTTAGGATAGTCAAGACAGAAGCAGACTGTGAGGGACTCCAAGAAGATCTCACCAAACTGAGTGATTGGGCAACAAAATGGCAAATGAAATTTAATGTGGATAAGTGTAAAGTAATGCACATTGGGAAAAATAACCCCAACTATACGTACAGTATGATAGGAGCAAATTTGGCTCTCACAAATCAGGAAAGAGATCTTGGAGTTATCGTGGACAGTTCTCTGAAAACTTCCACACAGTGTGCAGCGGCGGTCAAAAAGGCAAATAGGATGCTAGGAATTATTAAGAAAGAGAGATAGAAAATAAGACCCAGAATATCTTACTGCCCCTGTATAAAACTATGGTACGCCCACATCTTGAATACTGTGTACAGATGTGGTCTCCTCACCTCAAAAAAGATATTTTGGCCTTGGAAAGGGTTCAGAAAAGGGCAACTAAAATGATTAGGGGTTTGGAACGGGTCCCATATGAGGAGAGGTTAAAGCGACTGGGACTTTTCAGTTTAGAAAAAAGGAGACTGAGGGGGGATATGATAGAGGTATATAAAATCATGAGTGGTGTGAAGAGGGCCGATAAAGAAAAGTTATTTATTAGTTCCCATAATAGAAGAACTAGAGGACACCAAATGAAATGAAAGGGTAGCAGGTTTAAAACTAATAAAAGAAAGTTCTTCTTCACACAGCATGTAGTCAACCTGTGGAACTCCTTGCCAGAGGAGGCTGTGAAGGCTAGGACTATAATAGAGTTTAAAGAGAAGCTAGATAATTTCATGGAGGTTAGGTCCATAAAAGGCTATTAGCCAGGGGATAAAATGGTGTCCTTGGCCTCTGTTTGTCAGAGGCTGGAGAGGGATGGCAGGAGACAAATCGCTTGATCATTGTCTTCAGTCCACCCTCTCTGGGGCACCTGGTGCTGGCCACTGTCGGTAGACAGGATACTGGGCTAGATGGACAGGTGGTTCTCCGAAAGTGCTGGGAGAAAGTGAAAGGAGAAGGAAATGCATGAATGGAGCAGACAAAACGTCCATAGGCCACAGATAGGACCCCAGTGGACCACATGGAGTCCAAGGGCCACAGGTTGCCCACCACTAGTCCATATGATTAGTGACTAATGGCAGGCCACATAGACTTGAGCTTGTTGCAAACTAAATGTTCACATAGACAAGTCATAAGTGTATTATTTTGCATTTATCAACACTGAATTTTATCTACTATTGTGATGTCCATTTTCTATGGTTAGCTCCCTCTGATTTCGTCACATTCTCACCTGCAAAATTTTGCTACCTCTTTGCTGTCCTCTCCATCAGTTTGTTAACAATATAAAACACTTCACATAGTATAGGCCCTGGAGGTATCCTCTTGATAATCCTTTGCCATGATGAAAGCTGATGATTTATTCTTTAATCTTTGTGTCCTGTCCCTTAGTCAGGTTTGATCAATGACAATACTTTGCCTCTCATGCCACAATAGTCTCCTTAATTTAACAGCTTCTAGTTACAGATTTTGCTAAGGCTTTTCAAAAGTATAAATAAATTATTTCAGGTGGCTCTCCTTCACATATATTGAGTGAATTCTAACAGATTTGGGGTTTTGGGGTCCCCCCCCCAGAAACTGCATTCTTTTGAAGCTAACATATCTGGATCTTCTAGGCCTTTTGTTTTTCTGTTTTAACTGTTTCTACAATTTTACTAAGCATAGATATAAGGCTTATTCATCTCTAATTCTCTGGCTTCCCCATAAAATCTTTTTCTAAATTTAAGAACAACAACAACTATCTTCCAGTCTTCTGGTGGTAGTTCTTTTTAATAAGATATTTCATATTTTTATATAAAAAAATTGGCTTTTTAAATTTAAATCAAATAATAGGATTTTTTTCACTAAACCCGTTTAAAATTAATTTTGATATGTGTCAAACTATGTTAAAGTAGTACATGTTTACTGCCAAGTTTTAAAGAAAATCAAACCACTGAGCAGGTAGAATCTCTGGCTGAACACTCAGAACAAACGTTTGTTAAAGTGATAAACCAACTTTTAACAGCAGCATACTCTTCTGCACATGCAGAGAGAATATCTTCCTCGCTTTCATTTATTCAGCTAGTTCAGTTCAATTATAGCTCCCTGAAAGTTAAAAAACCAGCTGGAAGTTGAAAAGTAGAAGGACTTGTCTTCCCTCTTCCAATTTATGAATAAAAGCTAGGTGTAGGAAGATGAGAGCTACCAGTTTTAAAAACCAGAAGGATATGGTGCCCAGACAATCAGCTCAATTAACTTACTGATCATATTTAATTTGTTTAATAAACTGGTTAAATGCAAAATATATTTTGATTAACTCGCTTTTTTCTTATATATCCAGCTCATTAAAGGTAGCTTTATTTAATCAATAAAAATTAAAAATGCTGTTTGTGCATTTGAATGATAATTTCCATGCAAATAGAACTTGATACAAATCATAAGTAAAAAAAATAAATCCAGTGAATAACTGTATTGTCTACCATAATTAAAAAAATGTAAAAAATAAGAATCTGGATAAATGCAAAATATGCTTCATAATTTCTTAATAAATATAGTTATTGTGTATTCTCTTCATTACCACAAAGAAACATTAAATTTATTGTAAAGGCTCTATTTAACTGTAAAACAACATGATTTAATAGTGAAATGTCAATATGAATCAAATGTTCTGTAGGTAAAGAATTAAGAAATACAAATGCAAAACAATATTAAAATCAGTTACTTAAATCAAGGATTCCTGCTTGACAATTTAAAATCATAATTAAAATTGGTGATTTAAAATGGCTTTGGTTTTAAATCAGTCCATCTTGCTTCTACTTCATACTTAAGCTCCATCAAATCTCACGGACACATACTTGATATTCTATAAATTATCATTTTGTACCAACATTTTTCTTCTGGCACTTCAATAAATGATAGTACCTCATTTTTATTACCAAAAAAGAACAGTCTGATTCACAGAAATCATGTATTTTATAAACATTCTTAATTGGCCCCTTTATCCTTGGTGCTTGAGAAAACCCACAAATTTAAATGAAACATTAGAAAAAATGTCCTATTTTTGTGATATGTTGGGCTAAGTACCAGTCTCTCAAGGAAATCTGTAGAAGCATCATTTTTTCAGTTATTTAAAATGAGATTGAACAAGACACTGCATAACATGCTATAGAAAACATGCCTACATTTAGCTATGACCTAAAAGGTTTTCCCTCCTTTTTTACCTTCCAGGCAATTGCTATTTTAGGAAGATACCACAATGATGAAAACACTCTTTTGCTATCATTTCATCTAGTTCAAACGGTCATGAATTAGTTAAAATCATGCACCATTTTCAAAGTTAAGATTCTCCTTCTGTTCTCAGAATGAAGGTTGATGGAAGTCATAGATAATCCAAGGTTAGAGTGGAGATTCTAGTGTGTACAATAATGTTCCATAGTGTACTGTAGGGATGTAAAATTTCAATTAATTGGCTAATCGAATAGTTGATGCAATTTGCACTGACTTTTCGATTAGTTGATAAGGGCCTCTCTGCCTTTGAAATGTAGCAACAGGCCTAAGGAGCACGGGGCCAGTGCAGGACTCAAATAGTCTCCCTCTGGCCCCATGCTCCCCGGGGCACTTCAAAACGGTAGAGCTGTGTGGAGCTCAGGGTCAGCGCTGCCGCTTTGAAATGCTGTGTGCAGCCCGGGGGTATCTGGGATTCCCAGCTGGCCCTGGGGACTGTATGAGGCATTTCAAAGCGGCAGTGCTGACCCCTGGCTCTACATGGCACTGCCACTTTGAAGCACTCCCTCCTCTTCCCCCCACCTAGCTGCCTCTTTCTGATAGAGGCAGCAAGGGTAGTGAGCAACTAGTTGACTAGCGTGTCGACTATGCAATTAGCATTTGCTTATCAGATAGTCGACTAGTTGTTCACATCCCTAGTCCACTGGAATATAAATACATATGAAAGGTTTTTATTTCCATGTTTT